CACATATGAAACAAATAACATTATCTAGTGGATGATTTGATCGATCGAAATAAAATCCTGCATGTGCCAACTAAAAATTTGTGAGTACTTGACGCGTTTTATTTTACTTCCACGATTACATATATATATATATATTCATGCTTTATTTATTAAACACACTAACTGTTTCAGGTGTTGCCTTATACTCTGTAATCCCATGAGGCCATTTTTTTTTCTTTGCTGTTGTAAAAGATTTTGTTCGATTATAAAGTATGTGCATATCCATCGTTAAATATTAATTAACTCGTTCTATAATAAAAAGGAAAAATCAACTCGTGATGGTCACTTTTTCAGTGTAACTGTTTTTGTTGTCACTTTTTCAGTGTCATCTAAAAATTGTGCAACTTCAAATCGCTAAGGCTTTTTTTTTTTATTAATAAAATTGAAAAAAACCTTCTATTTTTGCAATATTTAGAACCTAAGAAACAATGAAATAGAGAGCTTTTTCAATTTTACTAATAATAAAAAAAGCCTTAGTGGTTTGAAGTTGGACGATTTTACTATCAAAAATGAAATTTGGTACAAGATGATCATTCCTATTTGGGAAAAGATAACTGGGGCCCGTGACCAGAGCAAATTATGAAATTCGGTTCAGAAAACCATCGTCATATTAATATATATTTTCTCGTAAGTAACCAACAAACAATATATTACTAACAAATTAAAAAAATGCAAGAAAAACAAGTTGCACATTTAAGTAATGCTAGAAATATTAAAAAAATAAAGTCAGATAATGAATTGAATAAAAATACATCAAGTGAAGAAGAAATTGATTACGATGATTTTATTTATGAGACTGACGATTCTGGTGATGAATCACTGTCAAGAGATTATTAAAAGAAGTGACAAATCTCAATTGTCACAAAATGAGGTAAATTGAATCAATCCTAAAATGCTTTATATTGTGAAGGTACAGTAAATCAAACATCTGAACCAATATTCAGAAAAATATGCTTTTTTAATATTATACAATACATTAGATTGGAACATTGATGTGGAGTAAACATTTCAAGACCCAAATGGTGCACGAAGCTTGCTTACAATGAAACCCAGCAAACCTGTAAAAGAAGTACCCATATAAGTCCCCCTCAGAAACATTAAAGGACATCATTAAGCTGGTATTGCTTTGGACTTTTTTTTTCTGTTATTAGAATTGAGACATTCCTAAATCTAATTATTTTTTATTCACAGAGCCATGCAAACGAGTTGGAAAATAAACTGAAAAGTGTTGATCAGAGACTCGAAGACCCAATTACCACCTTTTCAATGGAAATTTTAAAATATTTGTAAGTAGAATACTTACTTGAACTACTATTTTGCCTATTTTTGCTGTAATTAATTCTCAATTTTTAACCACCTATAGATTTGAATTTGCCTACCCTGACAAAACCCCAATACAACATGGAAATATATCCAAAAGCTCATACAAATTGTATGTAATAAATATGTGTTTAATGAAACTTCTGTCTGGAATACAAGCTGATTTGATATACAACCCGTAAGTGCTATTTTAGGCATTGCCTTAATGCAGCATAAATTAACAATATTGATCTTTCTTCTTATATAAGAGGAGAAATAGCTTTATCATCAATTGAATCTTAATTGTAGAAGGAAAAAGGAAAGTGATTACGAACAAAAATCAGATGGTGTTTTCTTGATGTGCCTAAAAAATCATCACATTGAAATTGGTCATGTTGAAATCAGTGGTGGACACAGTTGTATAGATAAACCACGATCCACTTGAGATAATCTTAAAGGCGTGATTGGAAATATCTATATGTTAGGAGACCTATCATATTGTTACAAAAAGGCTTCCTACAAACTTTTTCAAAGATTCAAGTGTCTTTCTTACATGGACTTGGAATTATCTTTCAATTAAATATTTTGTGTCATTTCTTGATATTTAATTGTTTACATAATCTATAGATGATCATTTAGAACTTTGGAGAATGTCTAACCCTGCATCTGGTGTCTTAATCTTTGAAAGAACTCATAAAGTCGTTGTTCCCATTGAATGGGATAATCAACAAATATATGTTTTAATTTTATTAAATTATTATGGGATTTAAAGGTACCATACCTTTGTTGTTTCATTTGATTCAGTCACATTCATATAAGTATTGTTTGTTAATGGATTTTATCTGCATAGCTCTGTTTATTAGATACAATTGAATTGATCAAAAAATTACATGAAGAAAATTGTAGATCTCTCCATGAGAGGCTTCCGATACATTCACTCATCCCATGCAGGAATTGGTGCAATTTGTGTTGAAAGTCTCTCTTCCCAAAATATATGATTATGTTTTAATGATAGATGGAAAGTATTGCTGATTTTGTTTATATCAACCAATGTATATAATCTTTGTACAATAACACAATTAATAATTTTTCAATTAAAATACTAGTTTTCTGGTCATTATTTATATTATTATAGTGATAGATACTGGATTTAAATCAATCTTCATCATTGAGAGTTCCAAATAAAATATTTTTATATGCTTCTTTCTTTTAATGAAACTCTTAACAATTTAAAAGTATCAATCAGCAGATTATTTCTTATTTTATTAGTGTACTAGTTTCTGTTTTTACTAAATTCAATTCACCTTTTGGTTTTTTTCCCACATGTATTTATTGGATATGCCTGTCTGGTGTTTAAGATCAAAGAATTTGTTCAGGAAGAAATATGACTCCACATCCTTAATTAATTTACTGAAAGGAATAGGGAACACCCTATTGCTCTAGTTTTCATAAAAGTCAATTACAAATAGATTAGGGATATTTTTTCAAGTAGGGCTTCTATTTGAAATACAAATTCTTATTCAAATTATTCATAATACAGTTGATCTTTAATTCAAATAAAAAATTAATTCGAATAAAACGAATAATTCGAATAAACCTTATTCGAATAGAAGCCTATTTTCAAGTATTGTTCCACTGTGTAACTAATTACTGAACTTCTTGATAATACAAATGTTCACTTTGTCTGGTTTTGTTGAAGCATGCCCCAATTAATAAATTTGTTAAATTTGTATAATATATATTTATTTCATAAATAATAGAAACAAGGTAGTTTGTTCTTGATTATTGTTAAATTAATGGTTTTGTATTATTAAATAAAATTTGCTTCCGATATCTACTTGATAAAACTTATATGTCACGAAGCCTCTTCTCAATATTAAATTTTTGTGTAATATGATCGACAAAAATCATTACCAATTATAAGAATATCCACCATGCTTTATTAACTGTCATTTAAAAATAAACCATCCGCTTAACCTGCTACTAAATGGTAATAGAAAACAAAAAAAGAATTTTCTTCTATATGAGTGACAAATCAAAAGCTCGGTTTTTTATTTCAGAATTCCAAAAACTTCTATGTATGAATGAATAGCTGATACAATTAAAAAAGAGCGAGTGTCACATCGATGTTCCTTATCCAAAGAATCTATTGTTTTTGCTAACCTAATATTAAAGCAAAGTTATTATTGCGGTGTGAACTTTTTGAGCATACACTATCCTTCCAAATTCCACAACATACGGAAGAGCTTTTATTACCATTACCACTACTATATTGATGATTTTCGCAAATGAACTAAAACGAACTATTTTACATGTTAAGCTGTACTATCATCCAAAATACCGACTATTCCTATTCGCAATTCTTGGCCATATTCGAATATTCAAAAGTTTTTGGACAAAATATTTGAATTACATTCGAATTTTCGAGCATTCGTAGTACTTTGGTAAAAAGTCTTGAATCACAAAAATTTCATATAATGAAACGTTTATTTATGATAACGACATTTTTTATAAAGTTAATATTAATTTCACAATCTAAACCAGTGTTAGTGTTGTTATTATTATGCAACGGAATTCGGAATCTGGAATCATGTATCCCATTGTTCCATTTCATTGATGCAAGGTCACACTGGAATTCGAAGAATTCAACCAATGAAATTTAAAACAATATAAATATAGAAACATGTAAATAAAATATATACATAAAAAAGAAAATTCTTGTCTATTATTCTAAATCTTTTTGATCTATTTTGCGATTCTTTTTTTCGCAGTGTTTGGAATCCTTAAATCCTGAGCTTCTGTTTTACCATACTGAATCCTATTGTTGTACATCATTTACATATTGTAAGACAATTTATCCTTATATTTTTATCAGTATAAACAAATTCATGGAATGCATGATTTGATTTCCCACCAAGATTAATTGACATTTTTTCAAAATATTCAAAATAAAAAGTTAGTAACACCGGAATAATCATTGGAACACTGGGAACATGAAAATTCCAGTGTTCCAATGATTATTCCAGTGTTCGCATAATATTAATACCCTTGTTCATGTTCCAGTGTTCAATATTCCAGTTATTTGTCACGTTAACATCACTTGTCACAATGATTCAATAGTAACAAAGGCAATAATTTTCCCTATAATTTAAAAGGTATGACAAAATATTACACGGCGAAATGTATTTTATCGTCAAAGGCACATTAATGAAAAAGGAAAGTTGACGAAAATAGATAAAATTTTCGGTAAACTAAAAAACATTTCAATTATTTATTTAAACTCTTTTATATATATACATATACACACTTTAAAATATTTATACCGTCAAAGACTATTATAACTCCTCATCTAAAAGAAAATTAGAAGAAAACGAAAGGAAGAACCTGACACTATAAACATTGGAAAAACACAAACTACAAGAGAGTGCGATAATGATTATAATTATTAAAGATATTAATTAATTTTTTAACTGATTCAGCTTTAGCAATATAAAAATTTTTGACATAATTAACAAAGTGTCAATTTTTAACCTAATTTTTTAAAAAACGTCATCTAGAAGGGAATTTATCAGGAAATTCATATATTTTTTGTGCCAAAATAATGTGTTAATTTATAGTTGAAAAAAAATTCATTGTTTTTGTACCATTTTTTTGTAACATGTTTGATATAATTATAATTTAATTCTTCTTTATGGTTGACATGACAGCCAAAATTTAACGATTTCTTTGATGGTTCTATAATAAATATGAATCCTATTTAAGGATTCCAATTCCTGCTATAATTTATCACGCGGAATTCTTTATAAATCACAAAATATATTAGTTGATGGTTATTAATAAGTTAATTACGAATAAAAATAACAACTTATACAACTTATACAACTTATATAACTTACAAAACCCGTAACAAATTATTAAAGAAATTTTTTTTGTTGTTTCTGTTGTTGTATCTTAATCCATTGGCTAATGCTAATTCAATTATCGTTCATTTTGTCCTTTTGGTTGAGATTTTATTCTTTTAAATTACTTGTTTTTTATCTGTATACATGTATACAATAATAATGATAATAACACAACAACAAGTGAGAGATTGAGATCAACACAACAAAAATAATTATGTTCTATATACGATATCGCATTTCAACGAATCAGAAAATTGCGTATCCATTTAGAAATTAATTTAAATTATATTATGCGCTAATCATGTTACAACGGATTCACGTGATATACAAGGTTATAATTTCCCAATTTCCCAGATTTTACCACATTACTGAAATTTCCAAATAATGATTTTACACGAATAATTCTCTGGTATTATTCCTTTAGATTATGAAGAACAAGTTGGAGATCAACGCAAATATAAACGATCAAAGAGATGTCCTTGATAATTTAATTGACAGATTAAATTTCAGTTCAGCATTAACAACAGAAGAATATATATCAATTGGTGATGATTAGATTAATGAAATGCCAACCAGAGAGGAAATTCTTGGTTCTTTTGAGCAAATTGAAGAGGAAGATGTTATTGTAAGTAGTACGTACAACTATTTCTAATATGAAACTGTAAAAGCTTTTGAAACTGCTTTTAATTTTCCTGAACAAAATAATATGAATTAAAAGCTTTAAAATCATTGAAAAAGAAAATAGAAACATATAGTATTCAAAATTCAATACAAATAAACATTACCAGTTTTTTCAGGCGCTTGATTTTTGTAAATTTTACGGATTTAGGTTGACCAGTCACTTATTATTATGCTTAGACCCGTTGAAACGAGGTTTGACGGTATAAAAATATAAAGCAAAATTGACATTGAGAGCCAGATTACTTTCGATTTTATTAATAACTTGTTTAAAAATTTTTCTCAAGTAAATATATATTATGATGAAACCATATTTTAAATTTGGTGACGATTGCTATGTAAATTCAAATGTTACAACCTGTATATAGACGGGTTTGATGGAAGAAAGTGTTAGACAAGATGAACGAAGCTTTCAAAGCAAGCTTTGTAAATATACCGATGAAAGTTTATCAATTATTCAATAAGTTATATGGGTGGGTTTGGTGGAAACAAGTGTTAGACAAGATGAATGAAGCTTGCAAAGCAAGTTTTATAAAATATACTGATGAGCGTTTAGCAATTATCCAGCAGTTGTATATAAGTATTTCAAAATTCAAAAAAAAAACGTAAATACTCTTTACCTATTACTATATATCTTATATCTCATTAAACATTTAACCGAATTGGTTCAAAGAAAGTCTGAATTTTATTGTAAATCATATTCAAAAATTATTTATAGTTAATACTGTAATATGTAGTGATATTAATTTATTAATGATTTTAAATCACAATTCGTTGACGCTTTTTTGATAATAATATTAAATGTCTTTTTACATTCCTCTTCTCCTTTTTTGACAATTGTATATTATTGTTTATATTATTTGGTCATTATAATCATTACTACTTAGGTATATAGGAATAAATGTAAAAGAAAGACCTATTTATTTATTGTGTTTATTTTTAAAATAAATGATTTTACTATAAAGGACATACTTAAATCGAACGAAAACTATGAAAATATTCACAATAATTACAATAATTACATTATTTGGACATTTATTTCTGCAATTAGACGCGCTAAACAAATTTCTACATATGAGAGTATAAATGCAAAATTCGATTTTAAGACTGGATTATTTTCGGTTTTATTAACAACTTGCTTTAAAATTTCTTAAAGAAGATGTTTATAAATAAGTTATATCTCAAATTTGGAAGTGATTGTTACATGACAAGGGCATTAAACAAAGATAAATTCCAGATATACACAAAAGGATAATTATAATAATAATAATAATCTATTCTAAGGGGATAGATAAGGAAGGTTACAATATATCCTTATTATTTTGTCAAATAATAAACAATAGAGGTGTATATATATGTTATTAGTATATCATTTCCATATATATATATATATGCCCATATAATAAATACTTTAAATGCCCACCCAATTCCTGGGAAAGGAAACTATGCCCTATTACTATTTTTTATTTCCTGTTACTATTCCTATTACTATTTAATTTATTTATAAACTGGGGAGGAGGACATATAATTTCACCTTATGCGGACAATATATTTTTAGGATCATCCCTTTACTCCGGAGATAGAAAATTAAATGAGGAGTTTCTGTTATCGTCATTGTTTACAAACCCGTATGTTGTAGCAGTTCCTAAAATAATAAATTCATAAATAACCGTAGTAGAATTAAGAGCGTTAACGACCGAATCGGGTTATCACCATATGGCAAGTAAGTAGTGGTATATAAATAGAAATGACGACATTGGACCCCGGAAATGATTCGCTAATCTTAATATAATTACAGTTGTGTAACGTTTATACTTCTTTACGAAAAACGGAAAAGAAAAGAAATATAGTCTTTTTAACAAAATACAATTACTAAAATAAAAAAGTAATTCTTCGACAAAGAGTAGAAAATTTCTATTATCGAGGGTCATCATTATATGATTATGAAGAAAATGCAACAGCGTGTAATCATTTAATTAATTGATTGTTTTACATTAATATTGATATTCAATGATGCCATATTGTATCTTTAGTATTAGTATTAGTAGCGATAGGTGGTTGTGATTGTGGTGATGATAATAAAATATGATAATGATGGTAATAACAACAGCTAGCACAATTCACAATTGGTTTTATTACGTATAATAATAAATATGAGGAAGTGGCTACTACTACTACGCTTATTACTTATACTAGCCTGTATATATATATAAAAGCATGGTTTTTACATAATGTGTGTGATACATACAAACATATTTATTATATATAGCATAAATGCCCTTAATTCTAATTTTAAAAAAAATAAAATAACAAACAATCTCGTGATCAACATAAGGAGAATTCTAAAAAAAAAACTATAAAAATCATTGATTATTCCATCATTCTTTTTAAAAAAACAAGTGTCTTCATTTAAAAATTTAAATAATTATTCCAAGGTTTTTTTTTTTTTAATTAAAAAAAAAAATCGTATGTATTTATTTCAATAACATCGAACGAATATTATTTTTGAAAAAAAAAAATAAAAAAAAAATGACTATTTTTGTTCCAACGACGAAAAATTTTCAGTCAATTCATCAAAATCGTAGGTTTTTTAATTTCAAATTGAAATTATTCACAGTTATTCGTTACAAAAATTAAAAATTTATACAATTCATATTAAATGCATTTATTAATCAGAATAAAAATAACAATTATTATATAAACCATCAGCTTGTAATAGAATGGAATCAATCGAAATAACTGCAAATAGTAACAGCGCGACTACGACAAGTATGGAGGGAATTGTAGCTACAATTCCAGAGAAAACGTTTATCGACTCCACAGGAACAGAAACCTTAACGAAAAATCACAATAGGCAAGAAAATGGCAGTAACCAAAATGTTAAAGGTCATCAATCAAATCTTGGCGATGCTAGCGATAACCAGGGAAAAAATATTTTGGCGGAAAGCCTTGTCGGTAAGTAAATAGTTGATAATATTAAAAATATTTTGATTATATTGCACTGTTGTTTTATGTATTGTTTATTATTTTATATTTATATAGATGCTTTTTTTTTCATATTTGGTGTGTATTAGAAACAACTATCTTAATAACCAATGTGATTTGGTGCAATTTTCCTTTACTTCCAAACGTTCAAGTAATTCCACTTCGCCTATACATCCAAGAAACATTGAAAAGGTCAAGAACTTCTTTGTCGACTTTGCAAACAGCTCTGCTCTACCTTTTAAGAATAAAACCGAAAATTGGATCCATTTACTTAAACTTGAGCTCATCCTCCAACTCAAACTTGAACTCGAGCTCAAACTCGAACTCGAATCCAAATATTATAAATATAGATTCTGCAACATGTGGTCGAAGAATGTTTCTAGCATCATTGATTGTTGCGTCGAAATATTTACAGGACAATAATTATTCAAATAATGCTTGGTCGAAGATTAGTGGGTTATCACTTAAAGAAATTAATTCGATAGAACGAAGATTTTTACAATTGATTGTTTACAACCTTTATGTTTCAGAAGAAGTGTTTAACAATTGGACAAATTTGTTGGATTCTCATATAAAAACAATATTGAATAATAATGATAGTCCTAATGATAACAATAACAATAACAATAATAATAATAAAGATAACAATAGTAACATTGATAACAAAAGTAATTATAGTAATGATGGTAATGTTAATAGTAATTTTAGTAATAATAATATTAATAATAGTAATACTGGTAATAGAGGAAATCAAACAGCCGATAATCACAAACGAAACTTTTTCATGATAAATTCTTCCACAACCACAATCTCTTCTAAAGAATGCGAGATTAAAGGCTAAACTTATTGTGACAGAATATAAAAACTTTAATAAATAAACAAAGCAAGTTCATTTTTTTATTGAATATCAATCTAATATTAAAATGAATAAATCATTTATATGAATTTCCAAATTTGTAAATAATTCTCTTTCATAAATAAAGTAATAATTAATTGGTTGTTTTTTTTTATTAATCAATTTACAAAGAAGGAAATTTATAAATCTCAAATGATTGATTTCTTTCAATACAGGTCATAATTAATAAAAAATAAAAAAAAAAATTTCCAAAAATAATTTCTTTTTTTTTTAAAAAATTAATTTCTCAAAGAAATTTTATAACAATTAATCAATCAAACAACAACCAAAAAAATGTGCTTTGTAAGTATTTCTTTCTTTCTTTCTTTCTTGTTCTTGATTTAAATTTCGTTCACTAATGATCATGTTTTATAGCGTGTAACTTGTAGAAAGTGTAACAAATATACATGGTCTGGATGTGGCAGACATGTTGATTCTGGTATATTAAAATTGATATTATTATTATTATTATTTATTTACTCTGTTTTTTAATTGTTTTAAAAGAATGTTATCCCAAAAAATATTTTGTTTCTTTCTTTCTAAAATAAAAAGTCATGAAAGATATTCCGAAAGAAGAAAGATGCACTTGTAACGAAATAAAAGCACCAGAGACGGAGACAAAGACAGAAACAAAGGCGAAACAGGTATATAATAATAATAATAATAATAATAATAATAATAAATAATAATAATAATAATAATAATAATAATTAGTATTATTATTTCTTAATGTTGTTGTCATGATGACATTTTATTTATTCATCTTTATTCTTCTCACCCGTATATATTATTAGTAAATCACTATTGGTGGCTACAAATGACTTATGCTAAATTTTACATATAATAATCCCCAATTTCTAATTTTTTTTTTTTTGTAATATTTATTATTATATTACGTGATTAGTTTGTCCGGGGGATAATTATGTGTTATAATTAGTGTAGTTTAAATAAGTAAAAACGTGAGATGTTGTTATTGTATTACTATTATTTTACCATTTTGCCTATCAAAATATTTTTATAAATTGAGTTAAAAAAAAAAAGTGTTGTGTGTATATTATGTAAAAGAAAATGTCGACAAAATTGCTTTCAGTTTTTTCTCGAGATATTTTTAATCTTTTGGAAAATTTAGAAGAATTTAATGTTACAATACATGTTGGTGAACAACCTAATGTTAGAATATTTCATGCGCATTCTCTTATCCTAAAAGCTCGTTCCTCTTATTTCAATACTGCTCTATCTAAACAATGGGCAAAACAAAAAGATGAAAAAAATATATTAAATCAACCAAATATATCTCCTGAAATCTTTGAAATCATATTAAGGTATTTACAACTATAAAGTTACACGCACACATATACATTTGATAAATTCTTGAGTGATATTAATATATAATATATAATAGTTATATTTATTCAGGTAAAATTTCATTACAGGAAAGAACTATAACAGAAATTTTAGAAATTTTATCTGCAGGCGATGAATTATTATTAAATGATTTGTTAGACTATATCCAAGATTATTTAGTTGATACAAAAGCAGATTGGTTACCAAATTACATACTAGAAATTTACAGAAAAACATTAGATCATCAATCATGTGAAAAATTGAGAGAATTCATATTGGCAACCATATCAGCAGATCCTGAATTATTATTCAACTCCAAAGATTTTTTGAAAATCGAAGAATCTTTATTGCTACCAATACTTAAACGTGATGATCTTGATATGGCTGAAGATGAGGTCTGGGACCAAATTGTGAATTGGGGAATAGCTCAAGATCTCGATCTTCATCCGGCCATCAAAGAATGGGATTATGACGATTTCAATAAATTGAAAACTATATTAGATAAATGTATTCCATTGATAAGGTTTTTTCAAATGTCCTCGAGTGATTTGTATGACAAAGTATGGTCTCCATTCAGATTAATCTTGCCCCCTAATCTAGAGGATGATATTGTCAGGTGTCATTTGAAACAAGGTAGTAAACCAATATATGGCATCAACACTCCAAGAGGAAATTCCACTTTAATTGGTCATAAAGAAATGTTACGTATTGCGTGTTGGATTGACAAAAATGATACACCGATCAGCAATAACAGTCATATTAATATCAATGGTAATAGCAATAGCAATAGTAATAGTAGTGCAATAAATATTTCTTCCTCTTTATTATCATCTTCGACTCCAATATCATCAACGTCAACGAATAATAACAACATTAACACGAATAACAGTTCGTCATCTGCCAGTAATATTCCCGCCACAACGAACGAGATGCCTTATAAATTTAAATTGTTGGTTAGAGGTACGAGGGATGGATTTGATTCCAAAACTTTTCATCAGAAATGTGATAATCAAGGTCCAACCTTTGTCATAATGAAGATCTCTTCAACCAATGAAGTAATAGGTGGTTATAATCCAATCAAATGGCAAACTGGTAGTGGTCATTTAGAAACAAGAGACAGTTTCTTGTTTACGTTTGGTAATAGAGATAGGATTGAAGACGCAAAAGTTTCAAGAGTATCAAGGTTTAATTATGCAATAACGCTTAAAGATGATTCCTATGGTCCCTGTTTTGGCGATAAAGATTTATGGATGTATGGTAATTTTGACAAACCGGAAAGTTGTTCATCAAAGGAAGACGATTATGAAACTTGGATAACTAAAAGTCGTAAATTTGGTGTTTCAGAATATGAAGTTTTTAAAATTATTAAAAAATAATTATTTATTGATGCTATCTATTTATATTATTATATTATACATTATTACTATTTATAAAGTGTTTATTAATTTATGTAATTGTTAATATTGTGTAGTTATTAATATATATTATTGTAAATTATTCTGTATCACGAACAAATTCTTGAAAATTTAATTGTCTATTATTATATCTCAAATATTCTTCAATTAAACCTCTCTCACTTGCCCCAGGATTTGATCTTGACCAGCTACTAATGTAAAATGTATCTAAATCACCTTTACAATTCCTTAATACTGATTCAAGAATAACAGCATCTCTTTTCCCCCATTCCATATCTAAGCTAATATTTCGCAATCTTGGTGGCAAAATATTGAATAGCTGTGGCATAAAATCACTAAACTCTCGAGTATACTTGTATGATCCGAACAATTTCAAGCTGATTAGATTTTCAGAATTATTATTTAAAAAATTAATTAACAATCTTTTCGTGTCGGAATCGTGTTTATAAGGAAGTGAAATGCGATTTAGAGTATTTTTGTATTTTGAACATAACGTTTTATACAATCGTTCGTCGATGAATATGTCTCTTCTTATCTGATCGTCGACATAGTAAATATCTTTTAATGTTTTGGAATTTGAATTTAATAAATCCATAAATATTTCAAATAGGCCTCGGAAAGAATTTTTTATATGCAGTTTTGTTAATTTGGAAAGGTTTCTTAGAGGTTGTATAATTCCCTCGTCCGAAAATTCACAATGATCCAAGATCAATATTTCCAAATTACTACATTTTGACAAATGATTGAATTCCGAGGTGATTGTGGTGAATTTTGCATAAATTAATTCAAAACTTTTTAAAGTTTTGAATGAACATTTTAATGCAGAAATTTGGTCCGTTAGTGATGTACCATACGAAAAGATTTTTAAATATTCCAGATTTTTTTGTTTTTTAATTAATTCACTAATCGACCCATTACGATTAGATGTATTAAATGTGTTATCGATCAATTCTAGTCTTCGTAGATTAGTCGAATGTTTTGCCAGATCCATTAACAAGTCACCCTTTTTTGGAACGTAACTGATCGATAATTCTTTTAATTGTGATAGGAAAATTGCCGAATTTTTGCAGTGTAGAAACTTTAATTTTTCTCTAGATTTTCTTCTCGGATAATTCCAATCCAATTTAATAGATTTAAATTTTTTACTTTTAACCAAGATCATCCTACATATTGTACGAATTATCAATTTTGTGTGTCTATGACAGACAATTATTGACCTACAATAATGAATGGTATTATTATTATTATGATCGTCGACATTATCATCAAAATAACAAATAATTGTATAAATAATTACAATTTACTTGTCTGAGTTTTCTCAATCCAATTCTCGACCGATAAATGTAAATTTTTCATATTCAAATCTTCCAAATGTTTCGGATAATCCAGAAAAGCAAAAGTCATCGGCCTATTATTATTGTCCGGTAATTTAACGTAATATCTTGATAAATTTGAAGTTTCATGCTTTGATAAACACTTCAAATAGGAGGCAATAATCGTCGAGCTGACCATATTATTGCTAAAAGGCGCCTTCCACAATATCGGAACAACCAGCTCGCAACAGTGTTTATTAAGTAAAAGGCATGAATGTAATGTTTTAATGTCGTTTGATAAGTGCTTGAATACTAAAGCTAAGCAGTCGTATACTAAGGGGACTTTTGGTTTCTCATCATCAGGAGGCAATGGATTGTCATCGTTTCTTTTAATTTTAATTTTTTCCTTTTTGAAAAAAAAAAAATAGATTCTTTTATACATCAGAAATGATAACAATTTATTATTTGAAAATTAAAATTTATTATTTGAAAAATTAAAATTTAGTGTATTTTAATGAATGCATCATAAAACTTTTTAATAATATTTCTGGGGGTATGATAATATTTATAATAATAAAAATATTGCTTCCTTGTTGAATGAATTTAGAATATAATGAAGGAGATTTGTTAGTTTGAGGTTTTTCATTTTACGGAATACGGATTCCGAAAACTTTTTTTTGATTATTAAATATTATGTAAATTATTATGCAATACTTATTAATTTTTAATTCGAAATTAATATTAAAATTATTGCGGAAGAACGATACCGAAACAATTAAATATTTGTCATTTTCTTGATTGTTTTCTCGTCACATTCGTCATAATATTATCAATTTACTTTGATAATGAACAATAATGATAATGCACAATGATAAAGCTCAATTTTCAATTTTGTTTTGTCATTATTCTCAATCCTTTTTAGATTACCAAACTAAGCCAAATATGGGAATGCATTGTTTTAAATATAGATAGATTTTTACCTATATAATAATAAATAAATTTGCTAGGAACTAATTCAATCTTGTTGGAATTGATATATATATTACTAATGTTGGGAAATCTTTGGTGGTGCGATTGTAAAATATAGGTGTTGGATAATTAATCTAACCCTAAACTTGAGTAGTAACGGTAGAGTTGTCCAGCTATGGCTATAATATTTATACACAATAATAATATCGCAAGGAACTGTTAACAGCTGGATGATGGCATTGTTTATTATTTTTGTTAACATTTAATTAATCCTTTATAAAATCAATTTTCTTTTAACATCTAATTGTTGTTATTATTATGAATTTTATTTTAGCCCAACCTGTTTGTAGATTCCGTTATACCAGTTAATTAACGGAGAAAAAATATGCGTCAACTTGTAAATTAAAGTTTCATCACCAAAATTGTAGATTTTCAATTTGCGGTAGTCTTTATCGTGATTGGTGGTAGACTAAGAAATTCCGGAAAAGTTTGCAGGCATCATGGGATAGCAGAAAAATCAAGAGATTCGGGAAAATATTATAATGAATGAAGTAAAAAAGATATATACTATAATTTGTTCACTCATAGGGAAAGTTTATGAAAACAACCAAATGCTTATTGTCTAATCTTAGCTAGTAACATTATTAATAAGGACGGTAATGGTATGAAGATCAATATCTGAATATCTAGAGGATTTTTGGTCCTTCCAAGATCAATTTTAGCAACTTGTTTTATTAGGATCAACATTTCATTACTTCTTTCTGGTGTGACTTTTCTGCCTCATATGAGACTGTCTCCAGCAAAAATCACCTCCGAGGTCTTTTGGCCAAACTTGTGGTTTTTATTCTATAACATATAGATTGCAATTGGTAAGGATATTATTATTTGCATAATAATAATAATAGTACGGAAAGAATGTACGGAATCTTCCTGTTAAATGCGCCAAAAAGTACGGGATAGGTACGGAATGCATGCTAATACTAATACTAATACGAAACACACACGGAGCACACATGGGATTTACCATTACGGAAAGCATACGAATCCGTTTTTCTGTACGTTTTCCGCACGAATTTCATATTAGCACATCACGTATTCATACGGGATACATACGAGAAAAACGAATTCTATATTGGTATTAGTATTAGAATGTTTTCCGTAAATCCCGTGTGTGTTTCGTATTAGTATTTAGCATCCTATCTCGTACGAATCCCGTGCATTTAATAAATATCAAAAAACGATTGATTTTTTTAGAAAAAGGTTGTGATTGTGGTTGCTCTTCAAGAATTCCCCAAGGAAGAATTTGCAAGAATTATATGAATTCGTTCATTATTATAAGTTTACAAATGAGGAAGCAAAATGAGCCGTCGAGATTTTCTTTATGCTTCCAAATTCAGCAGTCAAAATTTATTCTTTACCACAACTTTCGTTATTATTGGCGCGCACTAAATATACTTGGTCTTTGATGGAATTAAAAAATTGAATAAAGGTGCGTGCTGTAACCATTTGTATTTAATGATTTGCAATTATTATAAGTGTTTAATTAAATTTCATGATTCCAGGGCATATCAAATTCTAATAGCTTTGGATTGATCAAAGAAATTATATCGAAAGATGTCGTAAAAAAGAAATCCCTCATTACTTATAAGTAAATAATGTTTCAAAACCTTGAATTGTTTAATTTTATTATTATTTAAAAATTACAAAAAATCAAAAATACAAACAATCAATCTTGTTATAATTACAATTACAAATCATTAATTAACTCTATGAATTATTTTTCACCAAGAGAAACCTCCCGTTATTAATACTATTATTTAATTAAGCAATTATTAAATAAAGCATTGTCACAGTAATAACAAATAATGATGTAGCAATGCTGTATAAATTATAAATTGAGAGTTCCAGATCAAGATGCCCAGCTGAAACAGGATTACTTTCTTGAATTTCCTCTATAGTTGCTGAGGTAACTTTCTTGACCACCACAACAGTACTTGGTGGAATGTAAGTTGCATATGTTGTTAATTGTCCAT